TATGAATCAGGCGCTAACACCAAGCGCCTGAAGTCAAAATTAAATAACCAAACTAGCCCAAAAAAAACTCGGGGACTAGCTCTCTGCGAGTATCGTGACAATTGGATACTTGGGTCGTGATGTTGAGGTTGCCCCTTGTTTGGGGGGTCGGTGAAACCGAGAAGAAAGTTTCTCGCTTTCTGGGTCCCCGTTTCGACACATACCCAATAGAATGGGGAAAGTGGTCCCATGGTCATGTATAGAAAGTTCTTTTTGGGAATCTTGCATCCCGGTTGGTTCTGCTTCTTTTCTATTGTTGTTCCAATACTCCAGGTTTCCAATATGTGAATAGTGCGCGCCAAAACTGTTCAGCCAGGCATATCACAGCAGTTGAGTTTGGAGAATGGCGTGGTTCCATGGGAGCGTCTCAAAAAACAGAGCCCTGTTTGAATGCTGTTAAATTGGCTAATTAGCCAGAAAAAAGACGGATCACATGGAGAGCTGCCCCCCTCCCCCATTCTGAGAAATGTCCATGGGTCAGAAGCCCGTACCCCCAGTGAACATCCCAATCCCCACTAAAATAGACTAAAATGGGTGGTGCACCTACCAACACAAATGGGATCCCAAAACGGTTTTGACCACCACAGCCAAATGTATACAAAGTGTTGTCATAAAATCCCCAACCATCAGCTCCCCCTGGATCGGCGGCTTGAACCGGGACTGCTGTCGAGGAGCCCCTTTGGGGTTTTTGGGAACCAGGATTTAGTGATTTCCGCGGGGGAGGGGCTGTTTGTTTTTGCACACAAACCAAAACGCTGAATGGCGAGAATTCCGGATGGACACCCATCCCAAACCAGAGACAAACCCTCACCGAAAAGAAAGCCAACATTTACCCTAAGGCCACCCCAAAGGCAACCTTCAACTCACCAGAGACCAATCCTCAACCCACCCTAAATTTAAACCTGCCAACAGACGCGGCTTCGTGCGATGGTTGAGGAAAATAGCCTTTTTTTTGATTCCAAAGCGGCCCATGAAGACTTTATCACTTGGAAGGGGTTGCCTCGGCATCACAGAAAGTGGCGCCGCAAAACCCAAGTCGGGTGTAGGAAAAATCCCAAGTTTGTATGTGGTCAATTTAGCTTCCCTTTTGCCACCACGGGGAAAAGTATTTGGCGCCATGTCCTGGTGGGCGAGCAAGATGACTAAACCACCGAGGGCACTGCGTCTACTTAACCTGAAACCGGGGTGCACATAGAAACATGTTGCTTTGCTCTACATTCAGTCAATGCTCTTTTGCCTAGACCTCAGAACAACATGCTAGCCGGGAATGATTGTATATGAAACTAGTAAAAAATCACTTGTATATTCATTGTTCAACTAACAACTGGCTGGCTCATGTGTGGTAAACATAGATAGCCGATTCCTGTTCATTTCTCGATCCGTCCCCAAAACCAGGCAAAGCATGACTTTACATCTAAAACAGTATTTTTCGAGGGCGCCATCTTTTCGGGGAGGCGGCTTTGGGAAACCGACAAGACCACCGGCAATAGATGTTTCTTTTTCGTTTGCAGGGCAGGTACCAACCTCTAACGTCGGACCCGCGTGCGCGGCTCGCAGAAAGTCGCGAAAGACGTTCTGTTGCCCCTCAGAAACCGAGAAGAACGTGCTGCAGTGTTGGTTTGGTGGATATGACTCGCCACCGAATTAGTTGTTTTTCACCAACATCTAAACTGGGCCTGTTGGTTGGTTGGTGGATATGAATCATTTTGGGACCGAAAAAAAAAGAATCACCAACACGTCCCCCATTGAATTGGGCCGTTTTCAGATCCCCTGCTAAAAGGGCTGGGTTTAATACGGAAACCCAACCACTAAACCAGCGCTTAGAAGATCTAAAAAGCTAAGCTTAATCGGATGGCCGATTGCCACCAAAGTTCACCAAAGGCTCCGCTAGCAGTCACTTTCTGAGATCTGAGTGGCCAAAAAAACTCACGGTACCCAAACCAAAACATCTGCCGACTATGGGCCGACGCAAAAAGTGGCGCTCAAGTCCAGGTTCTGTGTGTCTGTGTGTGTGTGTGTGTGGCTTTTGTTAAGGGTTGCCCCTTTTTGGGATAAATGTTCAAGAAACAAAACAGCAGGAAATGATCCATTTGGCTGTGGCTCAAAAAACCGGAATTCCAAAATGGGTTGCCCGATCGGTAAGTGGAAACATGGACCAAAACCTGCGTAACCGCCCCTCCGATCGTTGAATTTTGAGCCACACCCATTTCTTTCCTGCTACCAACCTTTCCCCTGGCGCAGGGCTTTCGCCGAGCCGCCGCGATCTTGGTGCACTGCGTGCCCTTGCCCGCGCCGGGGCCGCCCAGCACGAAGACCACCGAGGGACCAAAGAGCGCCTGGCGCATGTGCAGCACGCCTTTTGTCTCGGGGACCCCCCGGAAGAAAAAAAAAACTGCTAGCCGCGAATGATAATACATCAAAGAAGTAATTCACTCATATATGAACTGGCTGGCGCATGTGCGGTAAACATTAATAACCGATTCCAAGACCAGGCAAAGAATGAATTTACATCTGTATGTCCAGTAGTGAGGTCGATTCCCTTAGAAAAGTCCACAGGGTTGAAAATGAACAAGATGTTCATTTCAGCAAATGGAAGCCATGGTTTCATAAATCTGAGTGTTAGGCGTTTTTGCTTTGGTTGGTTGGTGCTTTTAGATGGGTTGGTTGGTTTGGTTAGTTCTTGTTGATTGAATGGTTGGTGGCTTTTGGAGTTTGGTTATGGTGTTTTTGATGGTTTTTGAACCACCTTCTTTCAGGGTCTTCATTGGTTTTGAAGGGTTCCTGGCGGAAAAGTACACTGTGTGTGCCCATCGCAACCCCCCCCACCCCACCCAAAATACAAGCAGAATAAATAAAAAAAATGCGAAGGGTCGGCCAAAGACCAGCAGGGTGTTTCCCGGACAGGGCGTTTGATTCAAAAAGGAAACCCCATGGAACCCCAGGAAGCCGCTCAAGTGGGAGATACGGCCGTGACGATTTGGGTCACGGCGGGAGTGGGGGAGGTTTCGGTGTCCCAAACAGCTTCCAAAGCGGACCCAATGCTAGGACACTCCAATACCTACGCTGCAACACGCCAAATCCACAACCCGAAAAGAGACGCAGAGGGAAAGCTCAATCCTTGGAGGATGGTTTGGACGTCTTTTTAGGTGGACGCTCATTTTTTGGAGGAGCCTTTTCCGGCCGTGTGCTCCAAGTTGGATCTTCAGCCAACCAACCCAACTCACATCCGGAGCGCTGGATCCCTCGCCTGCACCTCGCGCCACACCTCGTCCTTGTGCCGCTCCGCGTCGATCCTGGCTCCGCACCGGTGGTGTGGCAAATGGGAGCCGTCTCTCTGAAGACCACGGACTCACCAAACGAGGTCTGAGCGGGCAATGGGGGAAATGAAAAAAACCAAACCCCTGTGATGGCGTGAGTTTAGGCTTGTGAGCACAGAAAAAAACACCTCACTGTCATTGAGGCTTCGAAGCTCACGGGGCCCTTCTTAGAACCGGCCCTTCTTGGAAGCGGAGCTTGTTAGAAGCGGCGCACAGGGCTCTTGTTTGGAAGCACAACTGCTGTCTTGTCGCAGGATGGCTTTGTCACGGATCCAAAAATCAGGGTCCGAAATGTCTGTGGGTCCCATGGCAGCGTTCGTTTGGCAAAGAACTCGGGAAAGGACACTGTTACGACACCGACCATTTGCATGGGGCATCTATAGTTTTGACACAGACCCAAATGGTCCTGAATTCAAATGTTGACGTTGCTACAAGCGTCGGTCAGGCCCATTTCTGCATCAACGCCAGAACCAGCTTCCCATTAATTTGTGGTTTGGGTTTGTGTTTTGGTTGCTGGCGTGGTTGCCCATTTACCCTCTACTAAAAGCCAGGGGGTATTGACCCCCCAAACCACACCAAAGCCGAGCAAAGTTCCGACGATTTTCAGCTGTCCTGATGACCCTCCCATCCGCTTTGAACTTCTCCACCACCGGCATGGACTCCTGGCCGAGACCGAGAACTGCTCAGTGTCCATAAATCTATACTGGAAGACGGCCAAAAACAGCTTCTGACCTTTAAAGCGCGCAAAAGCAGATGTCTGATAAAAAGAAACCTCCAACAAAACAAGGGTTCCACGCGGGTTCCTGCAGGACCCTTTCTCAACAGCTTTCCACGTGGGTTCCTCAAGCCAGTGAAAAGCGAGCACCAACAAAAAGTGTCAGGTTCGAATGGGCCAAGCAAGGTGTTTACTCTCCTTTCTACCACACCGCGGTGCGCCAAAAAATGGATGAGGACTCCCATCGCCCAACCAATGAGCATTCCGCTTGCATGGCTGGTTTGCGGCTTCAAAAAAGAATTCGAAGGACAACGCTCAAATCGAGAGCCTGGGTTCCATTGTTGGTCCCTGGCCGAGAGCATCGTAGCCGAAAACCATCCATCCCGGCGACCGGCCCTAAAATGCAACCCTTCTCCTGGGTCAGGATGCTTTAGTTTTTTTCTTTTTGCGGGGGGAGGGGGGGACGCCCTGGAAAACATCAAGCAATCTGTCCCTGGCTTTTGCCCTCGTTTGGGGAAAGCCACAAATCATGGACAATTCAGCACCTAATACTTGTCAAGTACGTGCTCAAAGAAGCGCCAGTTGCTGCAGCCGCGCTTTTCTCCTTCTCAGCAGCTGCGACGACCCGTCAACTGGGTCATCCCCAAAAGCATAGGGAACGGTTCAGGATGAAAAGCCCCATAGACCAGCAAACGTTCATTTTTACACCCCAGGCATACGGGACAGGACGTCGTCCAACCGCGCGCATGCCGGCATTGACACCAATGCTCATCCAGGTGAAATGAGGCCAACAACCAGGGACACTTGCGAAAATGGTCTTGGCAGGAAACGAATGCATCTTCATCTAGGTCCTCCAGTAGAGAGGTTAGAATAAGGGTACCCTTTTTTCGGTAGCCTATTTTAGTAGGGGAACCCTCCCAAAAAAACGTTGGTCAAAGGGCACTACTGGGGGACCTAGTCATGGCTATGCAGATCAGTAGGTCCTGCGCTTCTTGATCGGGCCATTGCCGCCTTTCGCCCTTTTCAGCTCTGGCTCCGACGAGACACCCAACATGGCAAGCACCGAGGCAGGCAAGGCACGCTGACCCGCCTGCGCAATTTGAGATGGAAAGAAACGAAGAGGTGGACCTGCAACTAAGTCCATCCGAGTGTGGAAGATTTCGCCCTTGAAAATTAGGAAGTTCCCTCTGAACATCTTTGCGCATGAACCTGTTGTGGTTTACTTCTTTCCCAGCTTTCTGCCATTCTGTTGACACACATTTGAGAAGGTTCTGAACACAAACTCCAAAACCTCGGAGGGGTGTTCCTCGCTTTGGCCCTACGTTTTGTGGGCGTAGCCGCCTGCTTCTTCACTGCCTTGGACTCTGCCGCGAAGGCCACGCACGCCCGCTTCACCGCAGGAAGGTCTTTCAGGGCGGCCGCCTCAGCAACTGCCGCGAAGGTCTTCTCTGTGAGTTGGCCGGCCAAGATCTTCCCGAGGACATCCACCAGCGGCAAGACCTGTCAGTCCGAATAAAAAAATATTCGCACCTAGGCGTATCCCATTCATGTATTGGATTCTTGTTCCACAATCCGGGGTAGACCTACTGTGCAGTGTCCACATCTGGACCGAGGGCCCAATTGCAGCGACGAAGATCGAAGGGGAGCCTTGTGGCTCTCTGCTGGACCCCCACAATGCTGAACGAGTGGGAAGGAAAAGGTCGTTGGCAAGCGTGGCATACCTCTGACCTGTCGGGAAATGGGCGCCCACCGACTCCCCTTTGGGCGGATGTTGCCTGCTCCAAGCAAACCTCTGAAGCCGCGCAGCCGTTTGTGAACGATTTGGGTCTCAAAATGTGGGGAACCCTTGGGTGGTTTTAGAGCGAAACCAGAAGGAAGCCAACCACCAGGAGGAAGAGCAGCCTTTTTGTGTGGATCAGACCTGCCATTGGCCACAGCACCCTGCGAGATATGTTCCTGTCAACTCTTGCAAGGTTGCGCCAGAACAACTGAGTAACACTTCGATCTGCAGACCTCTCAGCTGCAGACTCCGTCAATTCAACTGATCTTGAATTTTAAAAAAAATCCCGCGCCCTAGGCCCGGAATGTGATGGAAATGCACAGCGGGCCAGCGAACACCCCCTCCTTGCCAGCGGTGGGCCGGGTCCAAGGCTGCCAGGGCCATGTCCACAGCAACCTCTTCCCTGGTCCCGCCGGTGTAGAGCAGGTCCAGAAAGAGCCTCAAGCCTTTCACATCGCAGTCCGGCACCTGAAAACACGAAGCGCTTGGCCCGTGGGGTTGTTGCACAACGAGGTCGTCCCCCCCCTTTTGCAAAGGGGGGGGGGCCATTTGGCTTGCCAGAAACAACCTGAAAAGGCACCCTCCAAAAAGACCGGAGAAGAGTTGGATGGAAAACCATAGAACGCGAATTCCAGGGCATAGTCATCGTCCCCGTAGGTTTGGTAAGAGCGCGCGTTGAGTTCTTCATCATGACCCCAGTCAACCCCATGGAATCCCGTCGGACCATTGCGCACAAAGTTGTTGCGCACAACTAGGAATCGCCTGCCACCCGTATTATCATATTGTTGTAGTACTGTGGATGGTTGCGAAATCCATTTCGCACCACCCAAGAAACCCTGGGATGATGCTTCCAAAGGAACTACCAACAAACAAGTGGTTTCCCATGGTTTCAGAGTGGTGCAGGATTTCGTCCATCCAGTATGAGCTGCCAGCTTCAGTACACTTGAACCCTGCAGAAAGTTCGGGATGCAAGCTAAAAAGGCTTTACCACTCCTAGGCGATGTTTGAAGCATGTTATTTAGATGTGGCCAAGGCAAAAAGCCTTTCCGGAAAGCGTGGGAAAACGAACAATCAACAAGGGCTGGGAAGCACGGATGGTGGAAGGATGTCTAGTTTGGCATCCTTAGCCCACATCTTCCTCCTTCCCTGGGGTTGGCAACAAACAAATACCAAGCCCACCTGCTTTGAAGTTCTTTCTATTGAGACATACCCTTGTGTAACGTCTGGTATAAACCAGAATAAACCAGATGATGCAACCAATTTAGTTGCATGCTCTATCAACATGAGCCTTTTGGCAGCCTTTCCGTTTTTCTGAGCCTTCTGGTTAGCCTCCTTGCCTTTGCCTTTGTGAAGCAAACTGCTGTTTCCGCTTCCAAGGCCCCCGTTTTTTGATCCGGGCACCTTCAAGAAACCCGCCTGCAAAAACGAACTCCGAAAGGCTCTCCCTCTCTTGTCTTGGCAAATGTTTGGGGCGCGAGTCCAAAGCTCTATGTGGTTTCCCCTCTTCCCCGCCTGGATCACCTTGCTCTCCGCCTCCCGAAAGGACCCGCTGCTTAGCATGGCCTGCAGCACCGGCGAGGACTGGCTCAGCACTGCCACGTGGGCGCCCACGCAGCCGTCGTTGACCTCGAAGGCGACGTCGTGGCAGCTGGCGTGAAGCACCCGTTCCTGAGGTTGGCCGAAGTCCTGCTCCAGACAGTTGCTTGCACACCGTCAAGCAACAGAAATGGAACAGCTCACAAAAAAGTGCAGTGCCAATAATATCAAAACTACTGGGATTTGACCCAGGTTCCCACCTGTCTTGCAGGCTCTCATCAATGAGGACCTTGGCTCCCAGACTGTCTTGCCGCACTACGACTGCCAGGGCCGCCAGTGCGCTTGTGAGGAACATCACCCGCCAGTCTGAGGGCGGCAGATTTGCTGTGTTCAGAAACTCGGTGCGGAGCTGCACGGTCAAAGACGCCGCGCTATACTCAGCCCCTGCATCCATATCGACGCCGTCGAGTTCGAAACCTACACCCATCGTGACCTTCTTGCCCGGGTCCGCACCCTTTCCTTGGCACAAGGCTTCACATGGCAAAGCTCCCAAACAAAGTCGCCATACTGATGGACGAAATCCGTTCGCACCCCCGAACTCAGAAACCCTGGAATGATTCGATTCCCCAACGCAAATACCCACAAACAATGGTTTCAACCATGGCTTCAACATGGTTTCAGAAATCGTCCATCCACAGTTCCAAGCAAGATCTGCGCCAAGTTGCCAAGGAGCCAGGTAATAGTCTCCATGGCTTTGCTTGCAGCGCGTTGGCTTGAGAGGCCCAGAAACATGCCCTCCTGCAGCAGAGTGATCTTCTCCTTGGGGTGCACCACGTTCCAGTCAAAGCTGTCTGAAACATAGCTTCTCAGAGTGTCCAAGTCGCCTTGGCCGACCAAATCAAAGACCTGGTCCACTTTCAGGTACTCCATTGATCGCGAACTTTGCACTTGAAGGATGTCTCTATCTACCTAATGAAATATGTCGAAAAGCTCTGGCTAGCACATTGTGGTCACGAGCAAGGGTGCCACGAACAGAATTTCAGGATTTCTTGAGCCGAACCTTGTGAGGGAAAACATCCTCCAAAGCAGTGACCCAGCTCTGGAGCTGAAAATGGCCGGCACTCTGGTTGAACGTCTTGCGCAAGGAGCACCGCAGCCAGTTAGATTTCCTTTCAACCGTGGGTGAATCCAACTCACTCAACTGTGGGTGGACGCAATACATGTGAATGTACCTTGAAGACATGTTCTTCTTTCTGTGTGTGTGTGTGCGCAGGATCATCATCCCTCCACTTATGAACTACCGGCATAGGCGGCAGAGGACATCTACGCACATGGGTTTGACTTTGTATTGGTGGTATGCAGCTTTGAAAACTCCAAGGGCAACCTAGTCCCTGTCGCAAAAGATTCAGCATTGGGATTGCTTTTGAAGTCAAGAACTTACCACGTCTTTCTCTGGCGGCGGAGAAGGCCAGGCATTTCTGAAAGCCAAAGGGCTATAGATTCAAGTGTTACCGGTTTGGGGCGTTAAGCCAAGACAACCCGTCCCAGTACGCGACTCAGCTGTTGAGACCTTTTGAGCCGCCATACTGTCAGTGCAAATAATGCAAATGTGGAATATGCCCGTTGTGTTCTTCACCCCCCTCTGAGCGTAAAAGGGGCCTTTTACCAAACAGATACACTCAAAGGGAAATTGCGGGCCTCCAAAAGTATGGCACATGCAAACCCATGACGGGTGCGGTTTTACCGCTCCCGCCACGTGGATCTTGCATTCCAGCCCTGCCAGTTACTCCACCAGCTCTGCGAAGTGTCACTGCTCGACCCTTGACCACTTCGCCATTAGTTATCTTGCCAACGCCTACCCTCGCGGGCGGTGTAGGTTCCGGACGCAGACGATGCTGCCTTCGCGGTGTGCTTTTTCTTCGCTTCGAGGATGTGATTCCTCGGAAACTGTGCATTCGATCCTCCTCGCGGAGGTTCTTGAGGAAACTTGCACGACTGGCCAGGAACCCTTCTGTTGCTCCTTCAGGAGCTTGGTCTATAGAGTCTCCTTGCAGAGGGGGCGACTGCTGCGATAAAACTGGCGTCGGACGTCTGCTCATCAACAAAGTAAACATGTGGTCATTTAGACGCCAACACGGCCGCCTTCACGCAAGATGCTCTGGAAGGTGGAAAAGGATTGTTGTCGGTAACGTATTTACGCCCTTCCCCTGAGAAAGGGCGTCTTGTCGTCACCGGGGGTTCAAGAACCACTCGGTGGCAATATCGTCATCCCCAATGACGTTCGCCAGCCAGTCATTGTGCCCCTGGCCTTGATGATACGCTGCTTGAAATCAGCTTTGATGATGATATTCAAGATGTCTGGCATATGTAGCCGCTCGTGGCCACAGCCTTCGGTTCCTCGGCCACGTGTGATGTTGGAGATGGTTGCGCGGGACTTGTGGTACTTGTTCCCGACCTTCCCCACAGAAGGCGTATACTCCAGCCCATGTTGGTGGACAATCTCAAGACGTTGTACACCTTCGCCGACAGGTGACCATTCTTCGTGGAAAAAGCCCAAGCGTCGTAGCGCCCCCCCGGCCTCTTTGCAAATGCAAGCCAGCGTAGGGTAAAAGACCACGGCTTTGGCTTCTCCTCTGCTGCGGCGGGCGGATAGCCTTTGCAGCCGGCGGAGCCAAGCGGCTTTCGAAGTCGCTCAGGTTGACCGGAGCGGAATCCGGGAGCTGCCTGGAGCCGATCTCCTCGCTGGTGAACGGCAGGGCGATCATCATCTCGCTCAACTTCACCCCACACTTCGTCAAGGTATCTTTGCAATAAGCGACACCGAGCTATTGCCTTGGCTTTTGGCTTGCTAGAGCTCAATGGGCCTGTGGAACATGATCTGCTCTGCTACGCGACCCATTGCTGGGCCCAAACCGACAACGTCGCCATGAAGTAGAGCGTCCCGCAGAGGAACTGGACCGTCTTCACGATGTTATCATCACTGAAGGACACGTGATAACGATCCAAAAGTTCAATTGCTTCCACATAGAGAGTTACATCCACGTAGATGAAGCGCTGCTCAGCCATGAGGAAGTCACGCGTCCCAGGTCACGCTGAACGTGTTCAGAAAATGCATTCTGGATGGCGTCAGTGCAAATGTACGCATAACCCTCAGCTTCTTCTAGGTGGTCTCCACGGCTTTCATCATGATCATGAGTTCCATCACGCTTGAAGTGCTCAATCACAGAAATTGTGGGCATCTTGCTTGCTATTGACCCATTGTTTCTTCATTGGCTTGCTGTTCCTGCCGGTTATGCCAGTATTGCAACCATGGAATTCATACTTCTTCATCTGATATTGATTGAGGAAGCTCCAAAGTTCAGGCCACTTCCAACAACGGCAAGCCTTTGCAAGTTTGAAAGCAATCGTCACATGCGTCTACTGCTCTTCTTTTGACTCGATGGCGTAGGTCCTTGGGGCAGGCACTTCCGCAGGTCTCTGCAGACCGCAAACTCTCTCTTGAAACGCTTCATGCTCGGCGGGTGGCATAATGCTTAGGCTACACCCGCTGCACTCTCGAGTGACCAGTGATTTCAGCTTATCTTGGCAAACTGAAGCGGATTTGTCAATGGGGGCAGATTTCATGTTCTCAGTCAGTGCAGGCAGGTTCTGGGCAGCCAGCTGGTCAACTTTTCTCAAATGGACAGCCCACTCTTGCCACGTCATGCACGCTTATCAGCTTGCTCCTTCAGGAGGCGCTGAGCTTCAGATTCGATGGCACTTTGGATCACCACATCGACAGCTCAACTCCGCATCATAGGATGCCTGGGGCTGCTTTTCACATACGCGGCTAACCCTAGCTTCGGCTAACCGCACCTCAGAATGAAACTCTGTGCCGACATGGGCTTCGTACTCACGGATGCCTTGAGATTGGGACTGCGCACATTCGGCATAGCGCGCATGTTCCTCACGGTTCTCCGCTTGCAGATGTGTCACAGCCGCTTGGTGCAGGACCTAATAGCTGCATCATTGCCAAACGCAAAAATGGCAGCGCTGCATGGCTGCAGGGAATTCATCAGCGCGCGGTTTTGCCGCGCGTTCAGAGTTCGCGCACCGCTGCCAGTGGCGTTGTTGTGATTATTCCCATCATCGTCAACAGGCATGCTAGTCCCATCCAGTGGATACATTGCCATAGCTGTAATGCTAGGGGCCCGTTAAACCCAGATAATCCGTCCAAGTAACTCAGCTGCTAAGACCTTTTGAGCCGGCATAGTGTCAACGCAACTAGTGCAGCTGTAGAATGTGCCCGTTTTGTTTCTTCAAGGGCTCAGCACCGATCCGCGAGATCAGGCGCCGAACACCCCGCCTTGTGAAAGGTGAGGAAGCGCTTCCGGATGGACCTCGGATTTATCTGTTGGGGGGAAAAGCCCAACCGCCAGTGGGTTGCGCCCTTTGGTTGTGTCACACAATTAGGAGTTCTTAACCAAGTTTCTCAAAATTGGGGGCCTGCAAGTGGCTACCATCCATAAAAGCGTCTTCCTATTTTGAGGCAGTCCGAAGCGAGGGCCGGTGTATGGCTTTCTGGGAAACCTTACATTGGACAAAAGTCCTGTGTTTGATGGCCATGCAAAGGCTGCTGCGACCGTTTGTGAACTAGACATGCTTCAACCACTCTCGTTGTCAACCAGTCTGGTTGTCACGTCAACTCTTTCCGCATCACGTCCTCCACATTCTTCGGGATACCTCTGAGATGAATCAACTACCACTCTTGGAAGGCCTTAGGGGCCCATGGATGTTTGCCACGAGTTTCTGACCCCGAGTGGTACTCTGGTAGCGGTGCTAAGAGTACGGTCTGCTGCTGCCGCTGCTTCTTCCTCCTCCTCCTGATGCTTCCTTTTCTTCTTGCTCCTCCTCCTCCGGCTTCTTCTTCCTCCTCCTCCTCATTCTTCTTCTTCTTCTTCTTCTTCTTCTTCTTCTTCTGCTGCGGCTGCTGCTGCTGTGCTGGTGCATGGCAGCAAATACAAAGCCAATGCCAAGTCCCCAAGACATGGCCATGGGTGCCCGTATCAGTGAACATCCCAATCCCCACTAAAATTGGTTCTAAGATCCCATTGGTTTTGACCCACAGCCACATGCTTTCCGGAATCTCGGATATGCCTTACCTTTCTCCAAGTCTCGCGGAGCCTCACCAGATATCGAGTGTCATCCCCCTTCGCCCCGAAGCACGGCACGCCCTTGAAATGGGTTGTCTTTTTAAGGGATACCCCAAAAAAAGAAGAAGAAAAAAGTGGCTCCCGCAAGGCTTCCCTTCAAGCACCCAGAAGGATGGAGGTGGTGACCCCCAAAAAAGGATGGCAGTGGCGCATGTCGATCCTCGAGAGGTGCCCTAGAAACAACTACGCTACAGACGGTTGCAACTTGGGCCACCAATTTTCATGTACAAACCTGCTTGAAGACCCGAAGAAAAGCAGTCGCCCCCCAAAAAAAACACGAAACTCTGCAGCTGGCTGCAAAGCTCGCACAGAAGACAAACAGGCTTGCGCGCCTCCCTCGCGCTTGCCAAGGGGCTCGATGTTGTCGTCCGCGCGGCCGCTGGTCTTGCCCCGCTCGAGCAGTCGAGACTGGGCCGAGGAAGGCCCACGCTAACATCGAAGGCTGACTGGAGTTCCTAAGGGGTTGGTCCAAGGGGGGGGGGGGTCCCGAAGGTTTTTCAAGGAACCCCGGGGAACCCTAAGGCTCTCAACTACCCGCTCGTACCAGGGATTCTATGATAGATTGGTCTATGCTTTTTGAGGACGCCCTTTGTTTGTAAAAAAAGAAGAAGAAAAGAAAAGAAAAACGGTAAATCCATTTTGGGAGGTCCCCTAAAGCACGACACAAGCATATGAACTGCTGGCATGAATCCCGCCTCCAGCATCATGCTTGCCGGCTCAACCATATGAAACTCTAGCCACAGAAAAAAAATGTTCGGAATCTGCGCCGCACTAGTCAACCCTAAATACAGAAGCGGGTCCAGTAGAGGATCACTCGGGAAATTGACAAGTCGCCCGGGCTTTGTAGGAAATTAGTTGAGTGCTTTTGTGTCCATTTCTCCAA